CTGATCCATACTGGAAGATTATTATTATTATATATATATTTTTTTTACTCCTTTTCCGAGATTTATATGTTGCTGAGAATTCACAGAGGGAGTTCTTGTGTGTCTGTGTGCAGAAAGATCATAGCCCTTTCCTTCCAAATGATTCAGAAGCGTTTGACACCAATCAGCAGAGGGGGAAATGGTCCTGCCCTCTGTCTCACCCTCTGCAGCTCTTTTTTTTTTCCACCTGCTTCTCCTGTGGTGAAATGGGGATTTATAGTAATCTAATTGTTGTTAGGTTGCTGATGTCGCTACATTGACCTCTCCCTCCACGTGGGAGATTATCACCCAGGTAATTACTGTTTGTGCCTCACCTCTTCACCTCCTACTGAGAAAAAAAAAAATCCCACTATTTAAATTCTAGAAATCAATTGAATGTATACAGGGTGCAAATTGTATTGTGCTCGAAGATGTGCTTCAGTAAACCGAAGTTTTGCAATTCTCCACAGGTGCTTTTGTTTACCAAAATATGTGCCACCTATTTTAATTAGACTGCTGCACATCCAGCACTTCATAGGCATGAAACACACAGTAATATTTTATCCTGTGGTCACCAACAAATTATTTGGGTTCAAAAGTGGCTGAAAATCAAACACTCAACATACGAGAGCAGATGTGCACCGCCTCTTTCATGATCTGTGAAAAAGTATCTTTCTCCTTATACATTTATTCCATTTTGGCCCTTTTGTATAAGAAGCGGTTTTCAAATGATGATTCAATTTATAAACGCTCCTCAAACCAATTGGACCAGATGAGAAGATATATGTCTATATATTTCACCTTAAAAATGCTTTATCTCCCCGAATTTATGTTTTTCACCTCTTTTGGATGGATCCAAGTCTTATCTAAGAAAGTCCCTTTCCTGCCCTGCATCCAGAATTTACACACATTTTTAATAAGCTCCTCTATTTCAGTCTCTTTGATGGAGTCAAAGCAAAAGAAAGACAGAGACACTGGTACCTCTGTGCGTCTAAAGGAGAAAGCATGTGGGTGGAAGAAAAGAGGAAGGAGCCTCCTCCTTTGTCTCCCTCTGACAGAGGTAAAGGAGCATGGGGGATTATATGAAAAGGCTCTGCTGCAGACACCTGTGCACACAGGAGAAGCCTCTCTGTTACATGTGCATGTCTGATTGTTGGCATATCTTCATCTTACCTGTTTTCTGTGGGCCGACCACCATGAATTTAGGCAACCTGTCGCACGTTTTCTCCTTAGACCAGATGTCTTTGTGCCGTTTGTCATCACACGGATTCTACAAAACGGTGCAGAAAAAGAGTGATTAGACGTTAAACATAAAGAGAACAAACATGCCAAAGTAACCCACCTCAGTGAGGAGATATAGAACGGAGTGACATATAGCAGAAGAATGAATAGTCTGCTGAGCCCTTTCTGGCTTTGAACACGGCACAAATCCATATAAGCTGTAAATGCCTCCTCAAACATTTCCACAAAGGAGTCAGAATGCAGTAACAGATTCAGACTTTAGTTTTCTGCAATAAACTTAACGGATCCCTGCATCAAAAAGGACAATAAAAAAACAAACCAAAAACAATAAGTACTATCTGTTTTATCTATTCTTGTTTTGTTCTCCGTGCATCAGAATACTGCATGACGTCTTCGCAAATTTAAATACAAAAGAACATCTTTCCAGTAACAAAATCAAACGCAGAGCAGACGCGGCGAACACAAGCCCATACGTGTGTGGCGTGCACCCGTGCAAACACACCTGCCAGAGCGGGTTCCTTTGTTCGGGAAAAAGCTGAAAGTACTTGTGTGCGAGCTGAAGAGGCGGGAGGGTGTGGAGCTTCAGGTTGGTCCAAGAGCGAAGGAAGGACGCCAGGTGGACGAACGTGTAGAGACCCAGTCGATCGTTGCCGTAGTTGGAGAGGTGGGTCATGAATATGCTGATCTGGAGAGGAGAAAATATAACAAAGTCAAAGGGATAGTTCAGAGTTTTTGGAATTGGGATTCTGTAATGTTTTTTTATAAATAATTCAGTGGATCTTCTATTACCTTGCCACACTACTGCATATCTGACTTACATTTCAGTGTCGTAGGAAAACAAACAGCAGTAGGTAAATGATGCTTTAGCAATGTGTTCATGACTATGCCAGGTTGCTCCTAATTTATTTATTTATTTTTTATTATGTTTAAAAACTACATAGTATCAGCATATATGCAAATGCTCAGTTTGCCCTTTTATGAAGGTCCAGAGATTTAGATATGTCCTAATGCAGTGTTGTGTCCCATGGCTATAAACACTTTCAGTCAGTTTTTTTTTTTTTTTTTGAAGGGGTAAAAACTGATGGGATGTCTGACCAGCTGTGAACCATCCATTGCTTTGAGGATTTATTCCCTTTTCTACAAAGGAACTGTGATATAACACCTTCTGCTAGAGGCAGAAGGTGTTATATATCAATCCAACTATACCTTTTCTTTTTTTTTTTTATTTTAGATCAACTGCTACAAAGTACGTTTTGCTAGATAATAGCATGAAAACAATTTGATAGGCTGCACTGTTACATTTAAAAAAGATAGTTATATTTTTATTTGTCCTCGAACATTAAAAGCCGTGCGTCTGCAGAGAGAGCCGAGCGCCGCCGACTTAAAAAAAAAACAAAAGCCCGATTACAAGCAGCAGCGTGTAAAAAACGTTTTGGTATGAGAGCAGGCTCTTTCGTTATTTGGAGTGATACTTATATTTGCAGAATGACCGATAAAGGAAAAGCTTCAGTCTCACCCAACAAGAGTGGCAACCCTTGTTATAGGTAAGGGAACTATTACATCTATTGCAACTCCTTTATCATTACAGAATCTTTTATCAATCCAACTCCTAAGTCTTCACATTTACCACTGTAACCTCAAGACAAAAATATTATTTCCATGTGTGTGCGTTCAGCTGTACGGGCCCAGAGCATCTCAGCTGTCCTCCAAGAATCAACATCTCCTATCAGGTGCTTCTGTTAGGTGAAATCTCACATTAAAGTTTCAGCACGACGTACACAGTTTGAAGTGCAAAAATAAAAGGTAAACAGATAAAATGAGACTGATGCTTTCACTGCTCCTGGTAGATAAAGCTGAGGACGCAGCACGATACTCCTCGGAGGCACTGGGAGATGGGAGAGATGCGTATACACGCGGGACAGTGTGTCAGAGTGTGTTTGCGGTGGTTAATGTGTGTGAGGAGGAAGGAGACACTCAAAGCGAGCGGAGGAGCAATGGTGTGTCGGTCCAGGCTATCTGTCCACGCTTCACTGCTTTTATAGGCTGATCAAAGAGACAAGCTAAGATAGCTGTTACAGACAAATGCACACACACACACACACACACACACACACACACACACACACACACACACGCACGCACACATAAACTTGTGCTGTACTCCTTTTTGTTCACAGAGTTATGGAAACATCTTTAGATAAAACGTTACCATCAGCCATTAAGATATGAATTATTTGTTGGATCTAATGATGGTGTCTGGATTCGCTTGAGTTATGGTGTTTCAGTCTTTAATGTTCTTCATCTTAAAAAGCACCCACTCTCTCCTCCACACACATACACATGCTAGTCTCACGTTGGGGGTATATCCCATTAATTTTTAATTTAATTCTAGTTGATCATAGTTAAAGTAAACCGTATTGTATCGTTTTGTTTAAAAAAATGTATTAGATATGTCTATATGTAGGTAAGTCATCAATGCAACATGGGGGACATTACACTTCCCCTCGTTTGTAGAGTCAATCAGCCAATCAACTCCTTGTTGAAGTAAAAACAAAAACAAAACAAAACCTAAATATATCGTCCTGTGTAATGAATCAACATAAAATGTGACTTTAAAATTGTGAATCGAATCGCTAAAATTAGTTTTAGCAAGTCTGTGCAGTCAATTTTCTGCGGATAAAAGAGGGTGCGACTCTCTAGCAGCACAGATTCCCTGTAAATATAGAGAGACACGCTGTCGGAGCTTGATAGATCAGCGTCCGGCTGACCTGGAAAGTTGTTGGGAACACTGCACACTGATGGAAGGAACGCGTGTCAGCGTGTGAGAGAGTGAGAAACAGCAGGAGGGTGAGCTGATGCATGTATACAGACTGCTTTTCGAGGGAAAAAGAGCAGATGTGAACGTGTCGAAGCAGACAAACATGTCAGCACAAATGTTTATGCATTTGTGCACTGATGTACGCCACAGCACTTTGTGGATCTGCTACAGCCCTTCTTATGGATTTTGGGCAAATGAGCAGTGCAGCATTCTGGCTTTCACCAGGATTGTGTCAATGTAGCTGATGTAAGAGCAGGATCGCGGAGCCACTGTCAGAGTATCGCCAAGCACTCTGACAGGAACATGTGATAAATACACCAGGAGAGAAAAACGGTCCACTTGGCTCTCATCTCCAATAAAATTCACTATCAAAAACCTGAGATCTCCTCCTTCAAAGCTTTCAGAAACAACTCTGTAGGAATGTCTTCAAGTTATAACAAAGACATAATATTTAGCAGCACCCTCCAATAAAGGTGGACTGAAGGGGATCCAAACTGTGTAGCAAGTAGAAGAAATCTGAGAGCAGAGTAGATAAAAAAAATAAAATAAATAAAGTCTCCATTTTTGTTCTGCGCCTTTTTCGGAAAGGAAACACGGTGATCAAAAAGTGATTTATGTCCCCTTCAAACCCCTCAATAGCCTATGATGTCTGACTCTGCAGGCTGTGTGGAAACAGGTTGCTGTGTGTGGTTGTGTGTGGGGTGTTTTGCAGGTGCATACAGTTAGGACAAAGAGAGGGAGAAAGAGAGAGGGAGAAAGAAGAGAGGTCTGGCTGTGGCAGCACATGGAAACATTCATTATGAGGCCTGAGCGGTGGCAGCCAAATTAAACAGAGGGGGAAAAGAGGGGACGATTTGTGTTTGTAATTGAAGAGCTGCAGAAAAGAGGAGGGGCGGGGGGAGAGAGAAACAGAAGAAAAGAGAGAGGAAATGGAAGAGGTGACAAAAAGAAAATAACCTTGGCAGGTGAGTCTAAATTAAAACAGAAAAAAAAGTAAAAACCCACTTGAGAGGGTGTTAATCTCCCATTGAGGTAAAAACTCCGAGCCCCCCGGTGGAAGAACGTGCTGTGGCTAAGAATTCAATTAACTGAACCATCCAAACCTTTTCTCTGTGTTTCTTGAGCACTGAATTGCTCTGGGTCCCATATGGGCCTTTAATAAAAAGGGAAACTACTTCAAAATAGAACTGGACTCACATCTTGCCTGGACTGGCAGTGTTTCGAAACGTATAAATACAACCTCTCAGCCCATCACTTTTAATCTTTACTCCTCATCTTTTCTTCTCATTGCTACTATGCAGCTCTATTTCCCTCCGCTTCTTTCATCAGTTTGATGTCTTACTCTCACTTTTTACTCTGCTCCAAAAAGTCACTTTATGCTTTTTTTTTCTTCTTTCTTCCCCTCCTCCTCCAGATCTCGCGCTGACCTAGATGCCCTAATGAAACATGTCAGCCCGACATGGAGTGATGTTCTTCAAAGGACATGCATGCAAGAACACGCACGAGCATGCAGAAACTCAGGCAGACAGTTAGCGTGTCTTGCAGGATTAGAGGAACATGTGTTCTTGTATTTGAGCTTGTGACATATTCAAATCCCGCTTAATATGATTGCGTTTTGGGAAGTTATTACTTGATACTTGTTTGAATCTGTTCGTCCATCCTCCCTTCTGACTGTCTGTCAGCTTGTCTGGTTCCACATTAGGGATCGATAAAAGCAGTCATGGGCTTATTATACTCTACTTTAGCAAATAACACACAAATTTGATAGTATATAATAATGTTAATTAAAAGGGAACCTATTATGTTTCCTTGAACCGTTTAGGATAGGTCTATGGGTTATACAAATCATATTCAATACTTTTTTTTTTTGTTGAAATCATCAGATTTTGCCCAGTTGGTTCTGCCTATTGTGATCTTAACCCATCACTGATTTGTCATGTTATATTTGTGAAGTTTTGAAATGGCCAAAAAAGTTGAATTTATTTCCAGAAAACAGCTGGATGTTTTTTTTGTTTTTTTTTTTAGTGCTTGGACTGTCTCTAGAAGCAGTAGAGACCAAAACGGCCCTTTAAGTTCAAGCTGGGTTATGCAGACACTTTGCAATGATAAAGATGCACTCCTCTCATTGTGCACTAGGCAAGTGGTTGACAAGGCAAGAGAATTTGACTTATTTTCTGAGAAGTTCAGGTAATAATTATCTGACCACTTTTGGACACTCAAGAGCTTTGAACTCCCATCCCGACATGGTCAGGGAATGTTTAAATGTAATTAAAAAAAAAATAAAATAAAAAAAAAGCAACAAAGCCATGACATCAGGGTGAAAAACCACTATCCTGATGCAATAGAACAGTGTTAATTTTACACCCTTTATCCTGATACTCATGCAATATGCAAACTAGGGTTGCATCATAAGCTATACACATAACTGTGAAACATTTAATCTCCAAATTATTGGTGCAGCTCTGCAGAAACAAGTCATGTTTCTCCCTCGGATATCGGAAGTCTCTGATATCAGTAACTTTCTAGTAAAGTTTAGATTTAAAACCGGGACCAGTTGAAAATTATATGATTGGTGGTCGGGTCGGGCTCAAGCTTCTGTAGTACATTCTGAATAAAAATACATCCAGCACAGAAAAAAACAAAAATAACAATACACAATATAAAATTGTAGTAATCTACTTATCAGAGTCTAAAGAGAGGAGTAGGTAGTTTAACCTGATGAAGAAAGAAATAAAGGAAAATAAGTGCAGATCACACATGCCAGAAGATTTGCACTCGATTCCCCCCTGTTACACTTCTTCTGGAGTAACAGAAGAAGTTGCACTATTTATTCAAACCGCGGTCTAAAAACAACAGCAGTAAAACCTTAATTAAAATAATATATCGGGTTTACTTCGGGGTCGAACCTCTAATTACAGGTGGTCACATTAGCTCGGGCTCAGACACGACGTCTATGGGCTCCGGCCAGGTCGGGTCAGATATTTTGACTGATTTACAAAGTACTTATTTGACTTGGTTTTTATTTATTTATGCCCTTTTCTTCAAAAACACGAAAGTCATAAGGTTGAACTACGTTTTTTATTTCTCTGTTATTACTTCAGTTCAAACAGAAATGGGAAAGGAAGCTTTCAGTTTTTGGCTGGAATGTCATCGAATCTGAACCGAAACTGTCCTGTTGAGTAGCTTCTGCACTCTTGTGTGTGTGTCCGATTGCCTCCTGACTACCACTGCCACCTCATGTTCATTTAAGCAGCTGAGGCCCGTCTCCCATTACCGGCCACTTAGTTCTGCATACATTTCACCCTGATTGAATTGTTATTACTCCTAAAAAGATAACTGCTTATCCCAGCCTCACTCCTCCCATTCTGTCTCATTTTCAGTCATTGTCCCATGTCTTCTTACCCCTGCAGTGCCTTTTTTCTCTCTTCCTCTCGCGGTTCATCTCAGTCTGTTTGTCACGCCAGCAGACAACTGAAAGCGGCGCGTAAGTACAGCAAACGATCTTGGTGAAATGTATTCTGTCTGTTTCTGTCAACAACTACTGTCCCTTTCAGTTAGACCAGCTTTCGCTGCTTTTCCGTCGCTTACTAATGTCTTCCCAGTTTGTATTGTAGTTCACTGTGTGCCTGTGTGTGCGCGCCTTTGTTTTGGAGAGAGCTTGTATGTGTTGATGAGATGCCAAAGCCTTCAGTTGCGATCAGCGGGACTCCAGAGAACAAGAGGGAAGAAGTGGAAATGAGACAAAGAGAGGTGTGGAAAGATTCACACGTGTGAGCAAAGTCAACATGCAGAGGTTGAGAATTGCTGAGATGAAAAAAAAGAGGAGGAGAAAATGGAGAGAGAGAGAGAGAGAAAGAAAGAGAAGACACCCAAAGCAGTGACAATATCAGTGGTCTGCGTTGAGGGTGAGAAGTGGCTAAAACACAGGAGAAGGGGAGATTGTGCTGATATTTGGTCTTCGGCTAATAAGCTTAGTGGTAGAGCTAAGCGGAGCTAAATGTCAGACCTGATATATGTCTAAAGCTCTGCTTATGCCAGCTACACACAGATATTTCTAAAACACACACACACACACACACACACACACACACACACACACACACACACACACACACATACTTGGTGCTTTCAGTCCACAACAATATTCTCTATTGTGTGTTTGTGTGTGTGTGTGTGCGTGTCGGGGGGCTATATGTGCATCATTTCCTCTCTGTATGTGTCTGGATTCTCAAGTGACACAAGATGCCGTGACCTGAAAATTAAATCTCAATCTGTCTGCCACCTTCTCACCCGGCTTCCCCCCACCCCCCCTCCGCCTTTCCCACCGCTCCCCATCTCCTCCTGCTCCTCTCTCCTTTCTCAACATCTCTCTGACCATTTATCGGGGAATGACTTGTGCCCTTTTGGCTATTTGCAGAGTCCAATCGATTGTCGAGTGTACTGTGTACTGTACGTAAGAGCCGAGCTCCGTGACCGCGCTGCATGAACACCTTCATGCAGCCACGCCATCACACATGCAAACACGTCCACGTGCTTTTGGTCACCGTCCGTGGCAAACTGCCACAAAATACCAAAAGTGATTTAAAGTCATTCGACAGGAAGTGGCACTGTTACCGACGGGCAGATCATCAAACAAAGGGAAACACCCAGGGGGACTTAAGCAACGAGCCACAGAGCACTATTGATTAGGCACAAAGTGCGCACACTAATTAAGCTTTTGTGTCTGCAAATTGAAACACTGCACTGAGACACTAACATGAATCATCTTTGCACCTGTACTGTATGTGTGAACTGTGCATGTGTTTCAGTCAGGGCAGACAGCTCTCATTTAGGGGGGAAAAAAAAATTACTGCTTATGTTTATTAGCGGTTTTATTGATGGTACAAAAGTGTCTCTTAGTGTCATTTGTTTTGGCTCTGAGGAAGAAGGACAATAGATTAGAAATGTGAGAGAGGCAAAGTCTAGCAACCAGGGGCGTAAATCTTTCACTGGAGTTTTTTTTGTTTGTTTTTTTAGCTCAAGCTAAAATGACTATATAAATTAAATAAAGCACTAGTTGCACCTTTGTCTTATAAGCAGTAAAACAAGCCAGGCTACAGCATAGCATTTGTTTCATTCTATCTGCACCTTATCTTGTTTCAGCCTAGCCTACCCTATCCTATCTAATCCTGTGCTACCATACAGCAGATATTCTTATAAAATTAAGAAGGTACCAGTACCACAGCAACCACCATTTCTTACATAGTTTTTTTTTGTTGTTGTTGTTTCCATCAAACACATTTTTCAGTCTTATTTCTAATGGCACCAAATATCAAGCGCACACAATAGGTACAGAACTCCATATTGATTTAAACTTTAAAACCTTCTTTTTATTTCTTTCTCTTGACTCAAGGTAACCGAAAACATACCGAAACGTGATCTTTGTGCATCATTACATCCCTCTGGGTGACAGTAGTCTACAAAATGATATTCTTTAATTTTTATAAAGCACTGCAACTTCAGACACTTTGGCTTGTGCTTACATAAATCTCTTAGCGTAACAATGCATTCCAACTAACCCCACTATCCATGCTTTTGCTGACTAGAAAAAACATAGATAACCCTTCTTTCATTTTTTTTTTTCTGCTTTGATGACATTTTTTCTATGTATTATTAGAAACTTGTCATCGCTGCTAGGGGAGATGTAAGACCTCTTTGTCTTCTAGAGATCCTTTGTCCAAAGTGGGAGCTGCACAATACAAAGCAATTAGGCAATTCTTTAGAGCTGGATAGGAAAGTAATTTCTCTTTTTTTCAACTAGTAAGCAGGAAACCGCAAGCATTTTTCTGCCAATATCTATTAGGATCTTTTTAAACAGGCAAGACCTTCTTCTCAGAAGAAGAAAAAGGGGATTCACTTACACACACAGAGGCAGAGGAAGGTGAGAGAAAGAACAAAAGGGGGAAAAAAGAATTCTTAGTAAATAAAACCTTAAAGAACACAAGAAAGAGAGAGACTTGAGAAAGTAAGGAAAATAATGAGACAGGCATAAAGAAAAAGGCATCATAAAAATGTGACCAAAAAAGACAGAGAAGAAACAAAGGGGCGGGGGGAGAAAAAATAGCTGGAAAACAAAAAGAAGGAGAGAGACAAATTGGTGCAGAGACAGAAGAAAGAGCCAGACTGGGGTATTGTAGGGAGCTGCACTTGACTCTGTGATGTCGGGTGAGTTCTGACAGCTCCTCTGGTTCAGCACTCCCTTACCTGACACTTCAATACAGCTTACTGCCGCTCTATGAGCATCTCTGTGTGTTTGTGCATCTGCATGTGTGTGGTTTAAGGCAGAGAAAGAAACACAGACAGTGAAAGATAATGTTTAGGGGGACACTTTCTTTGAATATCCAGCCTCGAGCCGTGTGTGCGAGCGCGCCCTTGCAGGCGTGCACGTGTGGATGATTTTTTTTTTTTTTCTTAAACTCCCACCCAAAACCTAATTCTGTTCCTTAATTCAAAGCAGAGTCAAGTTGAGCTGACATACACAGCAGGGGTAAGTGAGAGGTGGAAAACCTGCTTGTGAGTGTGTGTGTGTGTGTGTGTGTGTGCGTGTGCACGGATGTATGTGACAGCAACCCCCCCGGTGGAGAGACCTAATTTAAAGTGGAGAGATGAACACAGCTCCAAGAATGAGACGCTGCCCATGACAGGAGAAGAGGCAGACAGACGAATAATGCTGAAAGAATTAGATTGATCAAAACTGAAGGAAGTTACAGTTATAGTTAAAGCAGTAAAACCTTGTGGCGCTTCTTCAAGGCCAAGACAAAAGAAAAAAAAATGTTTATCAGTCTCTCTTCGTGTCTGTGTGTGTGTGTGTGTGTGCTTGTGTGCGTCCG